GACACCAGCCTTTTCTGATTGCTGCTCTCTGTGAAACCACTCCAGGGGACAAAGTTCCTACTGCTTCTGTGACTACAGATATAGTACTTACAAACAGAAGTTACTGCATCTTTTCCTCCTTAAATACTGTTATTCACCTCTTATTAGTCAGTCTTGATATCCTTAATCACTTCTCTTTGTATTGACGAGTACCTCTGTGTTTGCTTTCTCCTCTCCTACTTTCTCACATTAGTCATTCACTTTCTGTGTAATGACAGATGTGGCTTTAAAGTATGTCAACACTTACCACTTACAAAGGCATACATTAAAGGAGATTTGTTAATACACTAGCAAAACATTCTAATACAGAAGTAGCCTGTAACACCTTTGCTGATCATTGCCACATATATACACACCTTTATATACACATACACACACACACACACATATATATACATATACACACACACACATACCGACTTCAGCTGGTAATTACAGTAAGAGTTGAAGTTGCTAACACAGGTCCAGCTTAAACTTTTATGCCAAGTATAAATAAATACCTTCACTTTCCGACCCTCTGTCTTTCAACTGCATTGCAATGTTAAAAGATTTAGCGTTACTGCATTCGGTGCAGCATCTCTGCTCATCCTTCTCTTTGGTGTGGCCATGGCAGATATTTCATTACACCCAGCTGTGTGGTACAAGAGATTATCAGCCCAACAAGCTTGTCACTGATGCCACATATTTGGCAGAACAATCCATGTTCAGTTCAGTTTATATGAAAATCAACTGCATTGGAGATAATACAAAAGACAGCATCTGCTCACAGCCCGTTTCCTACCTTATCTACAGAAGTACCTGCAAGCATTTAATTGCTTCAATAAAAGCGACACAAATGTCTGCAGAGTCCACCGCCCCAGTTTATGATGTTCATGTACCTTTACGTTATATATTTACACCACACGAACCGCAGCTGAATCCACTTGCAGTGCTTTTAATCACAGTGGTTTCATTGGAACTGTGCTAGTTCAGAGTCGTGTAATTGCTCTGCTTTGTGCTTAGACCAGGGCATTGTACAACCGGGGTGGGTTTACCTGCTGCTGTTTTAACCCACACCTTCTTGGCTTCAGTTCATTCCCCCTTCCAGGTAATTTGTCTTACCACACATGTATCATGCTCTCTTTTTTCTTTTTCCCTCAACTTCTAATCCTTTTGCCTTTTTACAAAAGGCAAGAAAATCTCTTTCTATTGTCCTTTAGCCCATGAGTTGCAATCCCATATTAAAACTGAAACTATCTAAAACCTTTATTCCCTGCAGCAGCTCTCCCTATGGCCCCAGCCATCCCTGCACTCTTCCATAGCATTGCTTTATGATCTGCATGTCCCGTGTTTTACCACAGTGAACACCCACCACCCAGAGATGCTGAGACCCAGCAGACAGCTCGGGCCAGAACTGGTTCATCTCTCGGCAAGGAAGCAGAGCCATGGCCTGGGCAGTGGCTCAGGGTTTATCCACACTGAGCACCACCACAACTCTGGAGAACCTGGAAGGACAGCAGTATTGAAAATTCTTGGAAATTCTTTTAGTAAATAGTGAGTGAGGAAAGGTTAGCTCCTTTCCAGAGCAGTGTTTAAACATCAAACTTTTGCCGTGTACCGAAATACAGAGTTGAACACTACGGCACACGCTCACTTCTTTGCGGCGATCGGCAACAGGTTACACACTCCACGGGGAAGGAAACACCCCGCAAGGGCATTTGCCGGCCGGCCGCCCACACCCCACCTGGGAACCTGCTCGGCAGCCGACTGCCTTTCAACCCGCCGACCGCAGCCCAGTAAGGCTCCGGGAGCCGCCGACCGCGTAGGCGACAGAGAAGGAGGAGGAGGAAAGAGAGGAGGAGGAGGAGATTGTATTATCTCCACTGCCCGCCCTGAAGGCAGCAGCGCTCTGCCGCGCCACGCCCACAAGATGGCGGCCGCCGCGCCCTGCCGGCCCGGTCGTCTGTACCCGCTGGGAAGCCGCGGCCGCGGGGCAGCGTCGCCCTGAGCAAGCACCGCCCGCGTCCCCGCCGACCGCGGGGCTCGCAGGGGAAGGGAGAGCCGAGGGCGGGGTGTCTCATGGGTGCCGGGAGTTTGGTGGCTGAGCTTGGGGCATCGCATCGGAGCCCGGGATGGAGCTGGGGCGGCTGGAGTACCTGCAGGCCCTCGTCACCGAGTTCCAGGTGACAGACAGCCCAGGTAACCCCCGGATACCGCCGCTCACTAATGCTTTTCGTGTTGAGTGTGTTTTCTCCTGAACCTGATGCTTCTCTGTTGCAGAAGCCAAGGAACAGGTACTGGCAAACCTGGCCAACTTTGCCTATGATCCCAAAAACTACGAATACCTCCGTCAGCTTCAGGTCCTGGATCTGTTCCTTGATATGCTCACTGAAGATAACGAAACCCTCGTGGAGTTTGCGATTGGTAAGGACTGCACCTGAACACCCCTGTAAGGGGCTGACAAGCCAGGGGATGCTGGGCCTGACACTTGGTTTGGTGGTTAATCCTCCCCCTGAAGGAGCAGATAGCGGTTGTGCTGGTAAGGCCTTGTTAGTGGAGAATGAGAGGTAGGAGGCAGGCATCTCCCCTTCATCCTGATAGAGCTGCTGTGCTTAAAGATGCTTTCTGAAAAGGATGGGTTTTTTCCCCAGACTGTAAGTAAACACTAGCTGAATGACTTTTCAATGAAATCTCTCCTACAGAGAAGGAGTAATTAATACATAATTTTTTCTATATATAGTGTTCAGGTCCAGTGTTACCATTCTGCTATTGACAACCAGTCTTCTAGAATACTTGAAATTTTTTATTAAGTCCTCTGAGGAACTGCCTTACAGTGATTTGTCACAGTCTGAACATAAGCTAAGGGGCCAGATCCTAATTGTGAGTGATTCCATGAGATTATAATAAACCCACTTGATTTTTTTTTAGGTTTGTGGCTGAGCTACACTAGGATGTGGCTGTATCTTAAAGTTTTAAGGTTAAACATTGTGTTTCTTGGCTAGTACTGTTAGCTCCGTTCTCTGTTTTTAAAATACCTGCAATAAACTGCTGGCTTGTGATCTCCGTTAGGGTTAAGGGATACTGGAATTCTTCATTCTGGGAAGAGTTATGTCTAGCAGTAACAGTGCCCTCTAATGACATACAAGAGGAGAACTGTTCTGTGGAAAATCTATGGAAAGAATCACGTAAACATTGCCCAGGAAGCCGTTAAGAATTTTCCAGCCAAATCTCACAGAAAACCCGGATGCTTATTTCTCTACTAGGAAAGGGATCAACAGTGAATTTGAAACTTAGTAGGAAAAAAATGAGGGTGTGAGGAGTTCGCCTTGCATGTGTCAGACATCATCTTTTGCTGTTTCAGGCGGTCTTTGTAACCTGTGCCTGGATAAAACTAACAAAGACTACATCCTGGGGGCAAACGGGGTAGAGCCCATAATCAATTGCCTCTCCAGCTCCAACGAGGAGACGGTCATGTCGGCAGTCACAACGCTGATGTACCTGACGACGCCGCAGTCGTGCCAGCAGACCACGGCTCTCCCTGTGGTGGAGTGCATGCTTCGCTTCTCTCTCTCGGCCAGCAGAAGGCTGAGCAACCTGGCAACCATCTTCCTGGAGGATTACTGCACACCGCTGCAAGTGGAAGAGGCCAGGAATCTCAGCGAACACACAGCGGTGGGGATTCCTCTCCCCAAGGACTGAAGCTGTCGGAGCAGCGTGGAGCTGTTGAGAGGGAGACCTCCCTCTGCTTTCCCAGACCTCCACTTTCTGCTCGGCAAGTGAAGAGTGTGGTGAGAATAACATTAAAGAGGGAAATTAGTCAGAGCAGCACTGGATTTTAGTTAATAAAGAGGACAGTACAGCACTACCATGTCAGTCAGGCCAAGCACGCAGCTAAAACTGCAAACAAATACTTAAAATAGGCCTTGGGGGTTGGAGAGCAGGTTGCCGTGTGCAGCCCAGCACCCAGCTTGCACAAATAACCCTTCCCGGCAATGAGGGATTTTTCTGCTTGAGTTACTGGGCAGCTTATATCCCCTCCGGTTCCTGGCTGGTTTTGCTGCAGCTCTCCTATTCAGTGTCAACTCAAATGACTTTGAAATGTCACATAAACTTTATATTCCTCCTGCAGAAGAAAGAAGGTGTTTCCCTGCCCCGGCAGTTTGCAATCTTATTGCGTCCCTTTGGTACTAAATGAGCCCTCCCATCATCATGGCATAGGCACCCAGCTAGTAAATCAGCAAGTAGAAAGTTGTTTTTCTTTCATTGCCACTGGTGAGAAAGGTGAAAATTAAAAAAAGGGCTCATAGGATTCTGGCCCATAAGAACAGCTGTCTTGTAAAACCTTCTCTTAATAAAACATTAATTTAAATGCTTTGTAAACAGTTTTGTATAAGCTCATAAATATTTCTCTACAGCACTTGCAGCCCAGCCTTCGCCCACTCTTACTCATGCACATGGGCCAGAAACTGAAGCCAGCTCGGTCTCCTTTCATTATCAGCCAATGATGCAAAAGGCAACCCAAAAGCCAAGGTGGCTAAATACACAAAATTTAAAAGGGTTTGGCTCCTGAGCACAGTGCTCCCTGACAGACACCCACGCTGTGCATGCTCAAGTTTCAGAGCTTTACCTCTTTCTTTTTTTTGTCTCCCCTCCACCCCCAGTCAGCCCTAAACAAACAGGACTGAGGTTAAAGCACACACACACAAGAAGCCCTCGACCCATAACTGCTTACATTTTATAGTTGCTGTTCCCCAACAGCAAACATCTGAAACTCCACAGAGGTTAACTGAATGCAGAACAACCTTCTAGAAACCTCTGCAGCACATTGAACAAGGGCAGCTCATTTCTTGCTAAAATGGACCTGCTGTAGTGCCCCTGCACGGCTGATGGTGCTCACGGCTTCCTGGGAAGGGGCTTCCCTGCCAGCGGATGAGCCGGTTGTTCTCCAGCAGTGGGAAGAGCACAGCAGCTCCTTTTTTGGGTTAGTGCCTGCGCTTGCTTTCCAGGATGGCCCTCCAGTCGTCCACCCAGGACAGCAGCCGCCTGCGTGGTGCCTGCAGCTGGACGTGCCTGTTGTGGCAGCAGGTAAAGAGGACGTGCTCCCAGCTTGGGTTCGGCTCTGCACCTGAGGAGGGCAAGGGAAGAAAGCTGGAGTCAGCTCAGGGTTTTCCTCCCCAGCTAGCAGAAAGAGAGATGAATGCTTTTCAAACCTGTAACGATATCCTTGTCGTCAAACAGCAAATCAGCAGATACAACGGTCTTATCTCGGGTTAGAATAATCCGCTCCACAAACTCGGGTCCCAGATGCTTTTCTACCCACTTATACTGCAGAGGCAAGAAGATAGGAGAAAATTCTGCTGTACTTTCAGTCTGCACATTGCTCAAGTCAGATCAGCCCTAGTACAGCAACCTTTTCCCCTGTAAACCTACATCTGTGTCTGCAAACCCCCACGACAGAGACTGGCTACAGCCCAGGACACTGATTTAACCTGTACTTCTAACGGCCTTCAGTCAGCACGCCATTTGCCTTGCCTAATCGTTGTCGAATTTGCAAGTGGCACTGGCTGCTTGCCCAGAACATGTGGATTGTGCCCATTTAAGTCACTCCTGTGATTAAGGTTGCCCCTCTCCGCTCTTGTACCAGTGGAAAACAGGACCAATTCCAATGCTACAGCCTCCTCTTAACTCAGCGTTGGCCTCTGTCAGGACAGCTGCGTATCTCAGACTCCGGATTTAGACAAAATGGGGTTCTGTGGGTTGAAGAGCCTCCTGTGTGGATTCCCTTGGGAATATCCCATCCCCATGGGCCATACTGAAAGCCAGGCTTGCCTTACCTGGCCATGCTGCAACAGTTCCTTTGCTGTCACCTGCGGACACAGCTGGAGCCCAAGGGTCACACACCAGCTCTAGGAGCACAGAGCTCACGTGCAATAACGCTGGCATCGCGTGGCACTCTGAGATGCCCCATCCTACACTATTACTGTGTCTCCCTCAGACAGGGATCGCAGAGAAGCCTGGCAGCCTGCACTGGCTACCATCTTTATTAGTGAATCACTCTGATTTGAGTGGTATGAAATAGCAAGACCTTGCAAAAACAGCATTAAAACCAGTACAATATATTCTCTCCCACCTTTTCTGAGAGGCAGTGCTCGTATTTCCGGAGAGGACTTGTGCAAATGAAGACTTCGGTGCTGAAAAGAAACAGCATTCGTTAGCAGTCAGGGTAAAGTGTCAAGACAACGGGAAAGGGCTGCAGAGTACAGTGTCCTTACTCCTGCATGTGGATCATCTCCTGCATGGCTTCAAGGGCTCCTGGAATTGGGTCCAACCCTAGAAAGAAGCCAGGTGACTCATAGACACTGGCTACCTTGGCCTGCAAGAGACAGGAGGACCATTAGCAATGCCCGTGCTTTCATCCGTGCATAACAGTTGTCCAGTTACCCTGTGTGTAACAGATAGCGAAGGGCCAGCGCTTTAGAGAGGTGATGCTTCACACCAAGAGTGGATTGTAAAATTTCTCACCTTTTGGATTCCGTGAAAGGTCCTGCTCAGGCTCACAGGAACAAGAAGTGACTCGCTGCTGGCTTGTTCGGCGTGAGGAGGCAGAGCTGGTCCTGACCTGGCTGCGTTTCTACGAGCCGCTCCACGAGTAGCACCACAAAGACAGCACTGATCTACAGCTTGATTTGCTGACATCTAATAGAGGGAGAGCTCACACCTTGCCCCTTCAGGCAGCTCTTTATGCTAACTCTGGTCAAAATCAAAGGAGCAAGCTCAAGGCTTCTGCTCCCCTTTCATGTCTGACTGAAATTTGCTTATGGCTCAGGAATGTACCAGGCATGATATGATGTAGACAGATGTATTATCTAGTAGCCTTCTTTTCCTTCAGAGCAAACAGGGGTACATGGTGACCATGCTTATCCTCAGCAGAGGATACACACAGACACACAGAGAGAGAGCAGAGGTTAGCACACCCACACATTTGGTTAATCCTTTTAGACCAGAACAGCTCAGCAAGAGGGAAGGAAGTGGATGGGAGAGCTAGAAATGCTATGTTTCTTTGCTGCTTTCTATGATTTTCAATCATACACTAAAATAACAGTTGCTAAAGGTGGTAAACCCACCTTCGATACCTACATGTAGGATGCCATATCATTTTTAAGTGAGTGTAAGTAGGAAAGAAACAAACTTACTGGAGAAGGATGGTTTTCCTAGGCTAAAGTGGTCAAAAATGGTGCAAAAAGGTAAAAGGAATTTGATACAATGCAGTACAGAGACATCTTTAGTCTATTAAAGGAAAAATAGGATTTCCAGGGCAATCCCTGTGCCTCTAGGTAAGACTGTCCTTCCAGTCCTTTTATTATTACTTAGTTTACTGATAAGACATTCTCACACCTTTATTATTAGGAAGTTCACTGGTTTGAATCTGGCGCTGGTTAGTTAATTTTAAAAACTGCTACCTGGTGGCTGTTCAGTGGCCTGTGTTAAATCAGAGCACCTCAGTGCAGGTCACAGCAGACAGCTCCTCTTATCACACAGCCCGTCATGACAAAGCACCCACAGCAGCAGCGTCCCAGCAGTGCTAAGGGCTGAGTCCACTTCAGGCTTAGGTTTCATTCTCAGACAGAGAGGTTCAGCTTTCAATATCTCTTCTACCCTAAGACACATTAATCTTACCTTTCCTGGGGTCATACAGTGATCTTCAGAGGTGCTGAGATAGCATTTTTCCTCAAGCACTGAAGTTGTACGTTCCCATGCTACTGAATAATTTGGAAAACTTAGTTCTTGGTAAGTGTTCTTCAAAGGCAGGCTGGCAGCCTTCGCTTAGAAATTGTACAAGATTGCTTTATAGTCCATCTGATGGTCTCCTTGCTCTACATCACCAGTGGAACATCAACATAAAAACCATTTCAATTAAGCAGCAATGAGAAGTAATCAGCATTAACCAAGTCTCCCAGATCACAGTGCTCACTCAGCTGTCGTCATTTACAAATACTCGTAAATCAACAGCCAGAAATGTGGAAGCGCTGCCTGATTTCACATGCGAATGGGAAGAGGTTACGGAGTCTAGGGGAAGACATGGCAATCAGATCTGCCCCGATGATCTCTGGCTCCATGCAAAACCACACTGATCCCAGCAGCAATTTCCTGGAGCTCTTCCCAGGGAGATTCAATTACAGAATCGGGGCTTGTGCCTGAAAGCTCTTTTATCCTACAGCAAGGCCCCAGAAACGGGCAGGTTTCCACCACGTCACAAAGAGTCTGGCTTCGCTGGGAAAAGAGATGTGATTTGACAACTCTCAGAACGGAAGCCATTTCTCGAAAGAAAAACAAAAGTAGTTACTGGGAAAAAAAGTTAAAACTATTTCCTTTGCTCATTCTCATCTCAGTGTTGCTGAATGTTTCCTTCTAACTTCCCTTAGCAATGTAACAACTTGGATACAAAACTGGTGAACTTACATCAATCCCTAAGCCTTCCCATTTGCAATACGTAAAAATAATTCTAGAAATTTTTGGCACTGCTGGAGATGCCGAATCCTTTTTTGAAACTGTCTGGGGCCAAGTAACACAGCCTGAACGCTTGGGAGGGAAATCTCTGTCAATAAAATCAATAAAATTGCTACACACACAGAAGACCAGAGAGGCAAGTACAGTAAAGGAAGTCTTGAGCAAAATACCTTCTAAATAAAATGGATTTACAATGTGAAATTAATGAATTAATGGTCAAAAAGAAAGAAAGAAAAAGCAAAGTAATGAGTCAAGTTTCAAGAGGCAGCTGCTCAGCACTCACAAAGCATCAGCACTTGCTAAGGGCAGCGCATAAATCACTGTCACAATCCTTCCCACGCCCCCTGTCACAACAGTACCTTAACTGCTGTTCCTGGGTGGACACAGCAGACACCGGCCACCAAGCGCTCGAGGTCAGGCTGATCCCCCTCCTTTACACAAACTGCAGACCCGGTTTCCCTGCACGGCACAGGATGGAGAAGCCACTCCCGGTGTTTGGGTGGCCGGTTTCTGCCACAGCTTTTCCTGCAGCTGGGGGCAAGGAGGGACCTTCCCCTGCAGGAATTCTCCTGCAACCCAGACACCCTGGATTGCCATGGCAGAACTAACAAGGTCTCTATTTTTAACCAGCCTTGGTATTTACATAAAACCTGAAGGAGCTTCACATCTTTAAAATGCTACTGTTCTGACAGATGTACCTAAAACAGCCCAAGGATCCAGGGGTGACTGAAGGAGACAGGCACACAACTACAAAAACCTCATTTCCTTAGGAAGCCAGCTAATAACGAACAGTAAGATAAGAGCTTTCTACCACTGATCTGCATGGGATTCAAACCAGTTATCTGGTTATTTCATTGACACACCTAAGGTCTGGGAAGGAACAGGATGAGCACGAACCAAATTAGGGAATGGGAATGCCAGAAATAGAACAGAACACAACTTTCAGGACAGATCAGATCCTAGACCTTCCAAAAAAGAACAAAGAATGACCCCTTTAACTTACCTGCAACTATTTTGTCTCAGTATACCTGAATGGCACTCACTTAAGGAACACTCACTTAAGCAATAAACCATGTTCATTTATATAAAACAATAAATCATGCCCACTCCCTATATTTACAAGTTACTAGTTCTGGGAAGTTTTAAGCATCAATAGTGATTGATGAGAGCTTGGTCAGTTTGGAGCCTGTGGAAATGCTGCCTTCTGTCCATCACACTGGTGCAGACACCCATACCTTGCTATGGAGTGGGAGAGAACTGAATGCGAGTTCTCACATTAATCTTAAAATTAACAATTAACTTCTTGGGGAAAGCATAGGGCACAGCTGGACCAGCAGCCACCTGCGTTGTCTGAGTCCCTGACTGTCCTGTGGTAACCAGAAGGAAGTGTGAAGTCTGGATTCACAGTATTTTTAATTTTGCCTTGCAAATGCCTCCAATATTCATTCAGTCATTAGCGAACATTAAAAATTGCAACAATTTGCAGAGATGTAGGGCACACCACCAGCTTTTTACATATTGTTCTACATAATTTACCTACCGTGCACCTTGCTTGTCAGAGTATGCGGAGGGGATGATATAGATATAGGGTTTTATTAGCTGTACAAAACCCATATATAATATTTATATTTTTTTGTCCTGCTATGGAGCTACATTAACACTTGCAGAGCGGACAGAGAGCTTTAGGGAAGTTATTGCCCCTGGTGCATAGCCAGAGCAGTTCATGGGTAGGTAGAGAATGAGCTGAACACAGCTCAGTGAATACTTTCATCCAGTTATTTTTATGACAGAACCACTCATTGCCAATTCCTGCACACACACCTCTTTGTAAAGGGCTGGCGATCCTCCTGGAAGAAGTCACTAATTATTACTATACAAACTAAGGCTGCTAGCCTAAAACAATTCTTTGTAGCACCCCCAAAAAAACCCCAACCAACCCTCCCCTCTGCTTTGCACCTCCGCGGCAGGCAGGAAGAGATTTCCTCTGCTCACAGGAGGGCGCAAGGCAAGAGCGGGAGGGGAGGGAGAGCTTTTACACCAAGCAGCCGCCTCCCCGTGTCCCGGCCTCGCCGCCGCGCTCACCCCCAGGTCCTCCCGCAGGCAGCGGTACTGCTCCCGCACCGAGAAGCCCCTCCGCGCCTCCAGCTCCACCCGCGGCTC